CACCGGCGGCCCAACTGGCTGTCTGTCTGGTGGTGACGCCATGGTCACGCGTGACGTTCCACCCTTCCACTGACGCAAGGTGTTACCACCCGGGGCTCACGACAGGTCTGTTGGCGCCTGATTCAGCGTCGGCCAGCCTTCGAGCACATGAGGTGCTCAGTGAGTGAGGCTTCCTTGCTCCCCCCGTCTTCCCCCCCTTTCTTTCGCTTTCCCCCCCCTGTTGCCTCGCCTATGCTCCCATCGCGTTTGGCGGTGCTTCTTCTTGGGCTCTCAGCTGCCCGCTGTGCCCTGCCCTTTCGCAGGCCTGCGCCTCGGGAGCTGGCGCCACTGTGCGACCTTCCGCTGGCCTTCGTGTCTGCTGCCGTCAATGTTCGGCTTAATCAGGTTCATTTTGTTCCTCGCATGTGCATTCCGGCGTTGGCTTCTGGCCCGCTGGCAATTATCTTGCTTGTCGCCCCAAGCTTGCTACGACCCGCTCTCTGGAATCGTCCTTGGAGCCGCAGATAAAAAAATGCGTAACTTCACCAGTCCGTTACTCGCCGCCTGCGCTTTCGCTTGCGGTTGCGACAAAAGACTAAACCCACCAGCCCATCCAGAAACGATGCCCAGAGGAATTGCCTCGATCAGGGAAGTGGGCAGCACGCAGAGGAAGGGCCCCCCGAGAGGAGGCCTCTTGGAGCGTCTTGGGGTCCTCTTGGCGGTCCCGGGCGCCTCTTAGAGCGTCTTGGGTGCCTCGATTGCTTCTTGAGGCCTCTTGGGGGTGGTCTGTTGGGAGCCTGTTGGAGGCCTCTTCGGCGCCAGTTGGGGCCTCCTGGGGCCTCCTGGGCGCTTTTGGACTGATTTTTCCAAGGATTTAGAATAATTTGGGCCTCTTCGGGGCCTCCTGGGGGAGCTCGTTGGCCACTTGGAGCCGTTTTGGAGCGGTCTTGGGGCGTCTTGGAGCATCGTGAGAGCCATCTTGAGGCATTTTGGGATATCTTGAACCATCTTGGAGGTCATCTTGGGCTCTCCCAGGCGCTCATGGAGTCATCGTAACCAGTGCCCCCCACACCCAGGAGGCCAACATGTTGTCAAAACCTACGTAAACTCAATGGTTTTAGCATTCTCGCCGAGGCCTCTTAGAGCGTCTTGGGTGCCTCTGGGGGGCCTCTTGGGACCTCTTGGGGTTCTCTTGGGAGCTTTTTGTGGGCATCCTGGGGGCCTCTTAGGGCCTCCTGGCCACCTTTTGGGGCCCTTTTGGGGCACCTTTAGGAGCCTTGAGAGCGTTTTTGGGGCCATCTCGGAGGAGATCGATCAAACAAGAGGGGAACATTAATTAGCGTCGCCCCCCCAGAACGCCAAAATGGGGCCAAAACATTAGTAACATCAGTGATGTTGGCTTCCTCGCCGAGACCGTTTCGGACGCTCCGACGACTCGTGGAACCCCCTGTCCAGGTCCATGGGGTGGGGGTAGGGGGAGGGGTCAAGAGTCTCCCTCCCCGCCCGCAAGCCGTCTCGCTCACTCCCACCCGCCCTCCCAACACAGAGGTAGCACCCGAGATTGGCCCGAGCTGCAGCATATGCAGCAGTCGTCTTGGAATGGGCAGCTACTGGGGGCGCATCCGCCGCCGCCGCCGCTGTCCGCCGCCGCCGCTGCCGCGCCGCCGCCGCCGCTGTCCGCCGCCGCCGCCGCCACCGCGCCGCCCGCTGCCGCCGCCGCCGCCGCCGCCGCCGCCGCCGCCGCCGCCACCGCCGCAGAAACCGCAGCCGTTGCCCCCGCCGCAGCCGCCGCGGCGCCGCCGCCGCCGCCAAGTGTACCCTGCATTGTTTTTTCTTTTTGGGACAGGGCTGGTGGGAGGAGGAGGCCGCATCGGGTTCGCTGCGCATGCTCCGAATTTGGAGGTAGAGTGTGATTTGTATTGGTTGTTGCAAAGGATGGTGGGGGCAGAGTGTGTTTTGTATTGTTGTTACCTAACAGCAAAGACTGATAGGTGTGTAGAGCATCATGACTCCTCAGGGGGGTCGGGGTGGGACCCGGGGCGGCTGCCGCCGAAGCCCAAATCGCCCGGGACATCCTCGCAAAATCGCTCTTGGCGCTCCCAGAACTCCATTCCCGGCGTACATTTTGGATGCCCGGAGCCAACTGTAGGCCACTTCGTGCTCTTCGACTTCCCAGAACTCCATTCCCGGGCCACATTTTGGATGCCCGGAGCCAACTGTAGGCCACTTCGTGCTCTTCGACTTCCCAGAACTCCATTCCCGGGCCACATTTTGGATGCCCGGAGCCAACTGTAGGCCACTTCGTGCTCTTCGACTTCCCAGAACTCCATTCCCGGGCCACATTTTGAATGCCCGGAGCCAACTGTAGGCCACTTCGTGTTCTTCGTGTTCCCAGAACTCCATTCCCGGGCCACATTTTGAATGCCCGGAGCCAACTGTAGGCCACTTCGTGTCTTCTTCCCAGTGTTCCCAGAACACCATTCCCGGGCCACATTTTGAATGCCCAGAGCCAACTGTAGGCCACTTCGTGTTCTTCGTGTTCCCAGAACATCATTCCCAGGCCACATTTTGATTGCCCGGAGCCAACTGTGAGGCTGAGGCTGAGGCAGGCTGAGGCTGAGGGAGGCTGAGGCTGAGGCCGAGGCAGGCTGAGGCCGAGGCTGAGGCTGATGCAGGCTGAGGCTGAGACGCTGACGCTGAGGCTGAGGCAGGCTGAGGCTGAGGCTGAGGCCGGGGTAAGCTGAGGCTGAGGCTGAGGCAAGCCGAGGCAGGCTGAGGCTGAGGCTGAAGCTGAGGCAGGCTGAGGCTGAGGCTGAGGCTGTGGCTGAGGCTGAGGCAAGCTGCGGCTGAGGCAGGCTGAGGCTGAGGCTGATGCAGGCTGAGGCTGAGGCAGGCTGAGGCTGAGGCTGAGGCAGGCTGAGGCTGAGGCTGAGGCCGAGGCAGGCTGAGGCTGAGGCCGAGGCAAGCCCAAGCAGGCTGAGGCTGAGGCTGAAGCTGAGGCAGGCTGAGGCTGAGGCTGAGGCTGAGGCTGAGGCTGAGGCTGAGGCTGAGGCTGAGGCTGAGGCTGAGGCTGAGAGGCTGACGCTGATGCTGAGGCAGGCTGAGGCTGAGGCTGAGGCCGAGGCAGGCTGAGGCTGAGGCTGAGGCAAAGGCAGGCTGAGGCTGAGGCTGAAGCTGAGGCAGGCTGAGGCTGAGGCTGAGGCTGTGGCTGAGGGCTGCGGCTGAGGCAGGCTGAGGCTGAGGCTGATGCAGGCTGAGGCTGAGGCAGGCTGAGGCTGAGGCTGAGGCAGGCTGAGGCTGAGGCTGAGGCCGAGGCAGGCTGAGGCTGAGGCCGAGGCAAGCCGAGGCAGGCTGAGGCTGAGGCTGAAGCTGAGGCAGGCTGAGGCTGAGGCTGAGGCTGTGGCTGAGACAAGCTGCGGCTGAGGCAGGCTGAGGCTGAGGCTGATTCAGGCTGAGGCTGAGGCAGGCTGAGGCTGAGGCTGAGGCTGAGGCAGGCTGAGGCTGAGGCTGAGGCCGAGGCAGGCTGAGGCTGAGGCCGCGGCAAGCCGAGGCAGGCTGAGGCTGCGACTGCGAGAACAGCAGAATTCTACCTGGATTCTCACCTAAATCTTAAGGGGCAGTGCTTCCAGATATGCTTCTACACATCGCTGTTAGGTTGCTTTGCCGGGACAATTTTTACAAGGGATGGTGGGGGGGCCGCATGGACCTGGGTTGGCTCCCAGTCGCTTGGGGGAGGGGGTGTATATTGATAGGGAACAGTGATCAAGACGCCCTCCCCGCCCGCAAAGCCGTCTCGCTCACTCCCACCCGCCCTCCCAACACATACGTAGCACCCGAGCCTGGCCCGAGCCGCAGCATATGCAGCAGTCGTCTGTGGATGGCCAGCTACTGGGGGCCAATCCGCCGTCGGCGCCGCGCCGCCGCCGCAGCCGCCGCCGCTGTCCGCCGCCGCCGCCGCCGCCGCCGCGCTGCCCGCCGCCGCCGCCGCCGCCGCCGCGCTCCCGCCGCCACCGCCGCAGCCGCTGCCCCCGCCGCAGCCGCCGCATCCGCCGCCGCCGCCAAGTGTATTCTATATTGTTTTTTGACAGGGATGGCGGGGGGCGGCCGCATCGGGTTCGCTGCGCATGCTCTGAATTTGGAGGCAGAGTGTGTTTTGCATTGTTGTTTACGAGGGATGGTGGGGGCAGAGTGTGCTTGTATTGTTTTTTACAAGGGATGGTGGTGGGGGGCCCGCATGGACCTGGGTTGGCTCCCAGTCGCTTGGGGAAGGGGGGTCTATTAATAGGGAACCGTGATAAACCCCTCCCCGAAGGGGAAGAAGGAGGGGTGGAAGAGGAAACGCCCTAAACCACCGACGCCCAGAGGGCTGGCAGGATTCCATCCCTGCCTGTCTGCCCCTCCCCTCCCGTTTCGGCCGCCGTCTGACCACACCCCTTCCAATTCAGCCATGTTATGTTCGTTCGTCTTCCCCTGCTCGCTCTGACTTCCCTCTTGCCGCCACCCGCATTTCTCCAGATTAGAACGGTTAAGAAGAGGTGTCTTTTCATGGGAGCAACTGGCGGACGGGTCGCAGATGAGAGCAGAGGCACGGTGTCCCGCGAAAGACAGTTCGACGGGGATTTTGCGGGTGCTAGTTGACACCCCCGAGAGAGATGCGTACCCCGCGCTTCCGGCGCGACCGAATCTCAGGCGATCGCAAACATGGATCAAGGGGGCGCGGATTAGCGACGGGTCCCGTTCCCATGGGAAATCGCGGATTTCCGCCGCGGAGCGAGGCGGCATTGGCCGCATTTTGGGGAGGGCACGTCCCCCGATCCATGTTTGCGCGCCCCCGAGAATCCCACCGCCTTCCCTCCGCGCCGTATGTTTCGTCCAGAAGGCCCACCTCCGCTGCGGCAGTCACAGTCCACCTCTGCTGCGGCAGCCACGGCCAGGGAGCCCCCCCTTCCCAGAAGATCGCCTCGAGACGCGTCGAGAGATAAGCCCACGTTGAGAAGCTCTCTTTTTCGCAGCTGGGCCATGGCCAGGGATCACCCCCCCCATCCCTCGTAGCCGTCTTGGCTCAAGTGAGCTTGCAACCCGCACAGTATTCCATGTGCCACGCGCGGTAGCGCTTGGTCGCCGTGGCCGCTGCCGCTGCGCACCTCCATGGCACTGACACGTTGACGTCGCACGCTTTGTTCGCACGCCCATGAGCTCGAGAGCGTCGTTCTTGTGGCCAGCCCAGCCTACTGCTATTCCGATGCTCCCAGCCACAGCGGTACACAGTCCTGCTCGCGGCCTGCTGCCATATCGCGGCAGCGTTGGTACACAGTCTTGCTCGCGCGCTGGCAGTGCAGACAGCAGTGGCACGGGGCTCTGCGCTGTCCACCGCTGGCCCGGCGCCCAGAGGCGCAAGCCCCCGGCTTCGCTGCACGACGGCGGGCATGGGCTCTTGCTCGGCCGAGGCGCCCAGTGAGCCCGCGTGCCTCTCCGTCAGCCTGCAGCAGTACCCGCAGGTCGGCGGGCACTGGCTCGGGCCGCGAGTGCCCGAGACGTGGCGCCGCATGGAGGGCTTGACCAGTCCTAGCTATGCAGACAGCGCCCCTGGTCAACAGGAGGGCGTGCACTGCTCCCCGCTGATCTTGAACATCGCGCCGGTGAGGTCTGGCACAAGCGACGTGTACAGCCGAGTGATGCCGCACCCGAGCTTAGTCTTGGCACAGCAGGCAGCCGAGTTGGACGCCCTAGACGGAGCTGTGAACGACCACAAGGAGCCGAAGTATTGGCCCTACGCCCTGGGCAACAATCTTTCCATTGAGGTGTATTCGAAGGTGTACATAGACCTTGAAAGTTCTGTCGCCTCCGATGGGATCCAGAATGCGGAACGTGTGCGGCTGCGCAGCCTCGACTTCTCCGCCATGAATTTCGACGCGAACCGAGCCCTGATTCAAGCCGTGCTGCCAGAGGCGAGGTTCGTGGCCTTCTTGCGCAACCCCATCGATCGTGCGACCTCTCATTGCAATTTTGAATTCACGAAGCACGTGAACACGTTGAAGTTCGCAGATATGTACAAGGTGAGGAGCGCTGACTTATTCCACGAGAACGCTTTGCAGGTTGCGGAGAAGTTCAAAGGCTGTTCGTCGGAAGGCCACACCGCTTGGGAGTGCTGGCAGATGTCGAACAGGTACGGGGTGGCGGGTTGCAAAAACTGCCGCAAGACTGCCACCTCTGTGCTCGACAGCCTCTACGGCGCATTCCTGCCCTGGTTCCAGGACTTCTGCCCAGAGGACAACTTCTTCGCCCGTCGCCTGGACGACAGCGACTTCGGGCTGGACCACAATCGAGCCTCGGGCGACGGAAGCAGGCCTGCTGAAGTTCATGGGGCTCGGCGACGCAGAGTTGCCGGCGTCACTCGCCAGGAAAGCACAGAGGAAAGCACATTGGCACGTCAAGAGTTTAGATGCAGGCTACGTCCGGATGCACAACATCACCCGTGCATTGTTGCAGGAGTTCTAGGATCCATATTTCGAATGATTTCAGCAGGGCTTTGATGATCGGAGCCTTGCGTGGTGGTTGCACGGAGAGGGAAGAAAAAAGGACTCTCCATCCTAGCAGCAAGGGTTGCGGCAGAGAGCGCCCCCCCCTCCTCGACGGCAGGAGCTTCAGGATAACAGCCGGCCGAGGGGCACGCCGTCGTTGTTGTTGCTTGCCCATATTCCCACTCATATATGTCCGCGTCCCGTGGCTGGCCCCATGCCAACTCCTTCGTTTTGCGCGTCTCATGTTCGTTAATTCCCCTCATCTTCCCAACCTATCATTTCAAAACCATCCCCTCCTCAGCGCTCTCCTCCTCTCCCATGTACCTTCGAGTATCGGAGATCTCGGTTGCTGATGCACCTGCCCTGCTCCTCCAGATGTGCAAGGGCGACGACGATCCTTGGTGCCAGGGTTGCCTCATTGTCTCAATATGTTTCGATGTACGTAGGGCCCGTCGCATCCTCTGCCAGGGTCAGAGTCGGGCTTTCGTTTGCCCAGGTTTTGCGGATGCTGGGTGCCGTTGTTAAGAAGCGAGTGCTGTCTTAGGATCGTCGTGTACGATCCCAGACGGGGCACAGCCAGATGATTACCGTGGAGGGATGTGTCGCACCCTCAGGGTTCTCACTAGTGCAGTAAGTTGCGTTCTTCTTTGTGCACAAGCAAGTACAGTATTCTGCCTCTCGCGCAGGAGCCGTGAGGGCGCAACACAAGTTGTTCGCGTGGACTTCCAGCAGCTGAGTGGATATTCGGGACGTGCTCTCGCAGGATCGCGTTGCGTTGCCTGTGGCATTGCTGATGCACATACGGGCGAGCCATCTGGCGAACCAGTTTCTGGAGGGCTGGCCGTGATGTCTCTTCGTGAATCCTGGCCGCCCCCCCCCGCCCCCCTAACACATAGCATGTTCCAGGTGAGTCGCATGTACGTCCAATGTGGGCTTGAACCCTCGGAACGTTCCCTACCGACGACCAGGCGGTGACGACACCCTGGACGGCTCAGCGCTGAGGAGTCTCACCTCAGCGAGGCTGGCTTCCGATTCAGAGTGGTTTTGCGTTTGTGCTCGGCCCACCATGAAGGCGGCCCCAGACCCCAAGGACGTCTCGGACGTGCCCTACAGACCCAGAGGCTTCGTGCTTCGCGCTGAGCCCTCCTGCTGTCTTGCACGGCTCTCCCCGAGTTCAAGCCCGCTGCGCAGGGTTCTCCCAGCCAGCGGGCTCCGCAGGCGGTCCGCGGGCGGCGGGCGCCGAAAGATCGCCCAGGAAGGTCTCTCCTGGGACGGATGCGCACGGGAGCGGAAGCACACTGGCGAAGTGCATGGAGCGAACTCGAACGGCGTGGGCAAGTTGCGGAAGGACAGCAGGCAGCACGCGGGCGGCCGTGCCGATGTCATCGAACGGGAGGTCTCTTCGGCTCCGGGGCGCCGACGGAGTTCGTGGAGAGGGTCCGGAAGAGAGGGCGATGTGCGCAGGGACCGCAGGTAGCCCGCGTGCGGCCGCGCTGATATGATCAACCAGGGCGGGCGTCTCTGAACGGGCGCGCATGGGAGCGGAAGCACTCTGGCAGAGCTCATGGAACGAGCTCAGACGGCGGCGCCCAACAACACTGAGCGAGTTCCAAGTCCGGGAAGACACATGTCGAAGAGGTTACGTGCGAGAGGAGCAGGCGCACGCGGGTGATCAGCAGGTGTGCGGCTGAAATTTCAGCGTTGTGAATGGCTTCGAGAGGTCTTGGATAGGCGGAATCGGCGAGTTGCCTCGTTCTCGTCCCCACGACCGATATTTGGACCAATGCCAGAGAGGTCACAGGACCAGGGTCTATGGCAGGAGGAGCGCGACCTCATGGGTAGCGTCGCCTGGCGGGTGAGCCCGACGTGGCAGCCAGCCGTGTTCTGGAGTGGACCAACGATAATCCATGTGTATCGGCGCTTACGGGGACACCTCATGGTGCTGTTGTGAGGCAGTAAGCTCCACAGCAGAGCGCCTTCGGCGGCGAAGTGAACTACACGTGTGGAGCCAAGCTGTCACAATGGGGCAAGTATTCATGTTCATGTTTTGGGCACCTCTAAGCCCAAAAGGAGCAGCCGTCTGGGGCCACGATTCAGCCCCTCGTTGGTCATGGATCTGGCGATTGGTGTCCATGGCGCGTTTCAGAAGAAGCATAAGGTGTGGTAATCAGACCGACGTAAACGTTTCGCCTGGTATATACGCGCGGCGAACACCTGTCTGTCAAACAATGCGAGGGTTAAGTCGCAGAAGTATCAATTCGAGAGCTGAAGCATCCGCTCACGTAAACCAAAGGATGAGAAATGCAATGCAAGCATGATTGGTCGGGAGACCCCGCAAGCGCACAGAGTGTGCCGTTAGTGCGTATCGGCTAGTTTGTTACCAGCGGACGTGGCGAAGACGTGCTCGCCGCGCGCATTGTTGCATGGAGAGGACTGTGGAAGGTTTTGGTGTTGTCCACGCTGTTTCGTCCTTGCAAGTGAGAGGTGTTCAAGAAGGGGTTCGAGCCATTCAAGCAACGCATCGTACGATATGATCTGGAATGACAAGAAGGGCACGATGTTGACTCCGATTTGCAGGACTTTGAGAGCAGCCACTCTTGGACCAATATATCAGTCGAGATGGTGAAGCGCCGCGAGGTTCCTCGTAGCACTTCGAATGGACCCATATCAGACTCGGCCCAGACATGAATAATTTGGGCCCCTGTCAAGAGCACAGGTAATGTGCCAGGCGCCTCCTCAATGGAGAAGTTGTGACAACTAGGCACGCAGCAATGATGTTGTTTAGAGCTTGCGTTCATTTTGTTTCGTGGAAGGCCACCAACGGTCGTTACATCACGGAAGCGTGGCATCTCAACAAGGGTGTTGTTGGCAGTCAGTCAGGCGTGTCGTTGAATACGCGAGACGCTCTTCCGCATTGAGCAATCACTCTCACCGTCATGATGGTGCGCTCGCCAGTGTAGGCCAAGGACTTGTTTGTGCAGAGCACTTTCGCAACATGCGCGCCCAGCGCGCCATTGATTGCCAATCACTGCAAGGCATACAATATGCGGGCTGTGCTCAAGCACGCCCCATCGACTCGATGGAAAGCATTGTTGCGACTGCAACCGACCGCCCACGGCCTCATATTAATAGAAGGCGTGGCGGTCATTCGGTTTACCCAAGTTGGCGCAAGACACATCCTCTCCTCGCATCGTCTGGCTCAATCCTCCCGCACCCTCGCTCCCACGATCACTTCCCCCTCTCTTGATCCATGTTCCCAACACTTGGAGTGGATAGGCATTGTGGCTGTAGGCGTCTTGGGTGCCTCCTGGGGGCGTTTATTGGCATGCCTTTGGGGCGGAGTGGGGAGTGGTTTTGGGCTGCTCGTTAGAGTCATTGGGCCTCTTGCGGCAATTTGCGGGCTTCTTCGGAGATGTGTTGATGTTCGTGGGGCATCTTTCTCGGGGCCTTCTTCGGGGCATGTTCGGAGGTCTCGAGGACCATCTCGGCCCCAAGGGGCTCGAAGGCACATACGTTGTACCACAGTAGGGGGCCAATGTGTTGCAGATGCCTTTGGCGAAGGAATCCTTGTTGGGCATTTGGGAAAGTCATGCGGGGACGCCCCCTGAGCGCCAAGGATGGCTCCGAAGTTCCAGTGAGCGTCCAGAGCTCTGGGTTGCGGGCCCCTGGAAGAATGGTGCACCAGGAAAATTCCGTCAAGCAGGTTCTAGGGGGCGTGGGGGCGCTCAATGCAGTGCTTGGTGCCCTGCTGCACGGTGGCGCACATGGGTCCACGGGGGTGGCGAGTTCGCTTATGGATCGTATCATAAGCCATGGCGCTTGCTTTATTACCCTGTGTCTTGTAGGGCGCGGATGCACGAACCACCAGGCCTCTTGTGATAATGACAGCGCTCGTGGTGATGTCACTTCACGGTGGCAGTGTGTAGTATTGTGCGTTTGGTCAGCAGCGAAGCGCATGGGCGCGTCGGGCCGGGCTCTTCGATACCGCCATGAGAACATAGCCGCATGATTCTGCGTGCATCCGTAAGAGAGTAAATTGCGCAAGTCTGTTTGAACGCATCCGATCCTTGTCTGAGGGTCTGCGATGTGATGTTCGCACGTGGGCCGCCGCCGCAGTTCAGCTCACGAGCTCTCTTTGGTCGCGGCCGCACCGTGAGGAGGTCTGGGGTGTGTGCCCGCGGAGCCGCTGGTCCATGGCGCCTGCTGCGGAGGTCGGCGGGACTGGAGAGAGTGAGTTGGAAGAGGGTTCGGAGTACGAAGGGTTAAGGGACAGATGGAGGAGGCCATGGGGGGGGGGGGGGCAATGCATTTCAAAAACGATGCGGACACGGAAGGGGGGCGAGACGAGGAGAAGGAGGAGTTGGGGAGGTAGAGGAGGAGAAGGAGAAGGAGGTGGGTTTAGTCTGGGCAGCCTGCGACGATTGCAAATGCGGTGCGCCTCGAGGGTATCTTGGAGGCCCTTTCGATTTGTTCGAGCACTCTTGGACAAATGTTGCATGAGCGACTACATCAAGGCAACATACCCTGGGGAGCCCGACAACGCGACCCTTACAGCGCCCTCGGGGCACTTCGCGTTCTTATGCGTGTTCCTTGAGCTTGCTGCTGCCCGAGTTGGCTGCGCTTCGAGCTGCTGTTTCCTGGAGTTGTTGGCTCCGGGAACCAGGAACTGCTGTCGGCAGTTCTTGCGCTCGATGTTGAGGCTCCTTGCGGGCCACTGGGTGCTCTGGCCACACGTCGCCCGTCGGCGGACCCAGAGGGTACGTGGCGGAAGGGGCATCGCGCATTCTCTTATCCGCGGGCCGCTTCTTCCACCCTTCGCCTGGCACAACGCAGGTGTGCCCTAGATCCGTGAGAGGCGTCGGACTTCCCGCATCGCATGCTGGAGTTGGCTGATCTTTCTGTTAGAGGTCGGGTCCAGCAGCGGTGTGCTGCCGAACTGGCTTGGCGCGTCGCTAAGCCTGGTGTCCGATGAGTCGGCGTGCAGCGGCTGCCATCTCGAGATTGAGCCGCTACGAAGTTGCTGTTTCCGCCGTCCTGTTAACCCACTGCTTCTTGGCCAGATTGAAGCACTCGGTCAGCCTGTTAAGTTTGATTTGACTCTCCTCCTCGGCCAGGTCCAGCGTGGGTTTGCCAGCTCCGATAGCTTCGAGGCTGGTTCCAACACGCCCGAGTAGGTCGCCGTCGAACTTCTGGTCGAGCATCTCTTCTTCCGCTGCCATGCCGTTTGGCGTTCCTCCCTGCAAGCACGCGGTCGCCGCCAGCAGGAGCGTTAACTGGAGCAAGAGCTGCCTCGGCCCACTTTGATTCCGCTGAGCCCGTCGCAGGGCCTCCAGCCTGCCGCGGGCTGCCTTGACTGCAGACGGAGTCCACAGCATTCTTGAGCACTTCAGCGCATGGATGCTTGGGCGACACGTTCCAGCAGCTTGGCCAAGGCGGAGTGGCCTCTGGCGCCGAGGGTGGTTCCGTCGGCGCGGCGGTCTCTGCCTTCTTATCGCCGACGAGCGCGTCCGGCCCAGCCAGGCGCGCTTCGCGATCCCGAAACCGACGCAGCTCCTCGTCGTGGGCTTTCTCCACCTGGGCCGGGAGCTGCGCCTTCCGGTGGACTCGTCGTTTGCTGCGCTCCCTTCGTCAGTCCTTGCCTGCTCCACGCTGCAGCAGCTGGGACACGATCTTGGAGGCGGGGTCGGGCTTGGCGGGCTCGGGCGGTGGGGCGGCCACCTGCTGCTCCGACAGGCGGGCTTGACCGCGCGCCTCGAGCACCTTGGTGGTTGCAGCGAGGATCGCGTTGTCGTCCATGGGCGGGAGTGGCTGCTGCAGCGGCTCGGGCGCGTTTAGATAAGGAATGCCCTCCTGGAGGACCAACCCTGGCGCGTTTCTTTCGGGTTTGGGAGAAGGTGGGTGGCGGTCGACCAGCCGTCCATCATTCGCGAGATGCTAGATTCCTTATCCATGGCTTCTCTTTCCAACACCTGCACCGTGCCCCAGTCCTTGGCTTGCCCCCCTTGCTGTCGCACGGCTTCTTGCTGGCGGGCCCCATGCGCCATTGGGCCGCTCCGAACCTGATCTCTCACAGGTTCTGCACTTGCGAGAAGGTCATGAGCGGGCACTTGCCGCTTCGAGGTCTTGCGGGAATCCTCAGATCCAGCGTTGTTCCATCTACAGCCTCCCGCTTTCCAAGAACGCGTGGCGTCATTTGTTGGGCGAGGAGCTCTTCTCGTTCGCAGCTCTAATGCAGTTGGCCCGCTAGCACGGACCGCCAGTAAGCATGCGCTTGCAAGCCCAGACACTTGAGCCAGCAGAACGGTTGGCGGTGAAGAGGACGGCGGCGACGAAGAGGAAGAAGAAGGTGGAGGAGGAGGACGACGAAGAGGAGAAGGAGGAGGAGAACGAGGGCATCCATGAAAGGAGGAGGAGGAGAAGGAAGAAACGATGGAGGAGGAAGAGGAGGAAAGTGGGGAGGAGGAGGAGTGCGTTCAGGTCAAGAGACCGCGGTGGGCCGACATGGAGGACTCCGACGGCGAGCAGCACGATCGCGCAGGCGGCTGGCAGCAGTGGGCCGACACGTCGAACGAGGAACATCATGCTGCAGGCGGCCAGCGAAGTGGGCATGGGGGATGGAGGGAGCAGGAGGAGGAGGAGGAGGACGACGACGACGAGGAGGGGAAGGAGGAGGAAGGGGGAGGAAGGAGAGGGAGGAGGTGGAAGAGGACCAGAACGCACCGGGATGGCATCAGCGATATTGCCACACGCCCTCCCGTTCCATGACCCTTCCCAGAAGTCCATTCAGGTAGTCCGAGTGTCGTGATAGGCGTGGGGGGGCGCAGCCCCCGCTGACAGCTCCGAATCGACCCCCGCTGCGGGAAACCACACCGCGCCGAAGGCGCTGCAACCCCCGTTGCGGCGCTCCGACGTGGCGAGGTTGACCCCCGTCGGGTGGGCCCGCCCCCCACGCTTATTACGAAACTCAGGGTAGTCTTAGTCACAACTGGGCGCGCACCACTGGCCGACAATCACCCCGTGCGCCCAACGTTCTTGAGGGAGCTCTGGTTTGCGAAGGAGCCGCTTTCCGTCAGAATAAATGTCCAGCATGATTGGCATTTCAAAGCCTGAAAATGATAGTGTTTCTCTTCCTCCTCCTCCCTCGTTCAACCTCCCTCCCTCCTCCTCCTCCCTCCTCCTCCTCCTCCTCCTCCTCCTCCGCCTCCCCCTCCCCGCCTCCTCCTTCCTGTGCGCGCACGAGGTACGTGCAGTTTTGAATCATCGCGGTGACAGACGAGGCGGTTTCCAGCCAGAGCCCCGTCTTGAAAACGACGTGCCCAACGTGCATGCAAACGCACCATGGGCTCGTACATTCAGTCACTAGTTTTCTGGTCGTCCTCTTCCTCCTCCTTCTCCCCCTTCTTCTCCCCCTTCTCCTCCCCCTGCTCCCCCTCCTCGTCCTCCTCCTCCAGCTGGACAGGGCCTCCGAAAGAATCGGCACAGAAGGGGGGGGGAGCGGCGGCAGGCGAACTCCTCCAACGTCCGTCCCCTTGCAAACCAAGCCTGGAACGACAAGCCTTAAGTCGGGCCTGTCCTTCTACAGGAGGAATATTCAAATATACTAAACAAATACTCTGGGGACTATTTTTTTATTATTGTCTGACTACGCTTGAACATGTTTTGGTTACTTTTATTTTTCGTCTAAAATCCGCCTGTAGGGGGACATGCCCGACTTAAGCCTGGAACGGCAAGACGATGAATCAACATGACGGCTGCGTTTTGGCAAGGTTGTGCTTGGAGCTTTGTTTCTGGAACGTTAGATTCGGGTGTTGCTCAAGGTGCCCCTAGCCCAAGGTACCCCCAGGAATCCCCAGGAGCCCCCCAGGGCGTCCAGAGCACCCTTCACGAGACCCCAGGGGGGGCCCAGGGTAGCCCAAACTGCGCGAAAACTTGGGGGCACATTGGACCAGGGGCACATTTCGCAACACCCGATAGGTCACAAGCGCCATTGCGAGTGCTGCATCCTGGCAGTGCAAAAATGCTACAGGACCCCTATCCTTCGTTTTTCCCCTTGCGAGGTCTGGCGAACTCTACAACTTCTACGGCCAACGTGCTCGGCGCTATGGCTTTAGCCCAGTTTGACCATGTAGCGCCACCTAGCCATACAGCTGGTAAATGGAACGTGGGAGCAAAGAGCGCGGAGGCATGGCGAGAGCACCAAGTTCAAGAGGCCCGCCCTCCATACGTGTAGCTGGTGCAATACGCAGGACGAGCGTGCGCGGCGCGAGTGCCGCCACCCAGCCATGTAAACGCTGCACAACGGCAAGTCTCAGAGGAGACGGGGTGAGACAAGAGGCGCCTTTTTGCCTAGTGGGCCTTCGAGGGGCCTCCTCGTGGCCACGGCCAGACGCGGCTCGAAAAGCATGTGCGTTTGGACCTTGGGAGGGGTCCAGGGACCGATTTTGAGCCGATTGGGGCCACCATTGTCTCACCGCCGTTTTTTACGTTGCCCTCCACCGAAAGTCTGAGCGGTGTTAAGGCGATCACCCAAACTTGAAAAGGTCGGCCCTCCATCCGTGTGATTCTTGCATATTGTATGACGAAGGTGCGTGGCGCAAAAGCGAGAGCCCCATTTTGAACAGGTTCCGCCCTCCATCCGCGATTCCAATGCTGAAGTTTGAGGCTTGTTTGATACGAATGCGCGCGACGGTAAACCGCGAGTTTCTCTGCGAGGAACGCGCCCCCCCCCCCTCTCGTCTTTGAAATTGCTGCAGAGCTGAAGCTTTGAGACCACAAGGTGCAATGGAGTTTCGGCCGAAACGACAGGCCCGCCCTGCAGACGGTCGATTTGGTGGGCCAGTTAGAGTGATCTATCAGGGCAGGGGATGGGGGAGGAGGGATACACGGAGGAGGAAGGAACCGGATGGGGCCGGAGGGATGGTGGAGGACAGGGACACAGGGACTCCGAGGTGGGGGGCGGAGGGACGGGGGGAGGACACCAGGGAGAAGGGGGAGGGGGGGGCAGGGGGAGGGGAGGGAGAATGAAAGAAAAGAGAGTGCACCAGAAGAACGAGGAGGAGGCCTAGGAGAATGGGGAGGAGGCGCGGGGAGATGGAGGCAGGCGGGAGCAGGAGGAGGAGGAGGAGGAGGACGAAGGAGGAGGAGGAGGAGGAGGAGGAGGCACGGGCAGGGCGAGGGAAACGAGGGAGTGGGCAGGAGAAGCAGGAGGGGGAGGAGGGCAAGGAGTGGAGGAGAGGGGGAGGGCATTCGGGGGGGATAAGAAGGAGGAGGAGGAGCAGCAGCAACAGCAGGTTGAGGAGGTTAACCTGAAGGAGAAGGAGGAGGAAGAGGAGGAGGATGAGAAGGGCCTGGAGAAGAAGCAGGCGTTGTATAGGGGGAGAGAAGAGTCTTGGAGCCCTGTTGGTGCTCCCGCCAACATTCAACAGCTTCATGGCTTTTTCACCGCACTTTCTTCTGGAACTGTTTCACTGATCACTCTCAGACTGTAGCAATATCATGACTTCCCATGAAAATCTGGCTGCCTTGCTCTCTCTCTCTCTCTCTCTGTCGCCCTCCCTCACTCTTTTTTTTTTTTTTTTCTCTCTCTCTCTCTCTCTCTCTATTTCGCTCTCATTTACTCACTCGCGTTATCCATCCGCTTCTTTTTCTTTCACTGTACTGCTTTCTCTCTCGTTCTCTCTCTCTCTCTCTCGCTGGCTCTATGCGCGTGACTGTATACACATGGTGATCGACCTCCGCATACCAACGGTATGTATATATATATATATATATATATATATGCACCGATATGTATTTGTACTCGCGCGCTCGTGTCCTTATATGTTTGTCTTGTTATATTGTCGTTCCTGCTCCGCGCTTCGAGGCGAGTCGTCCAGCGCGGCTCCGAGTGAGCACACTGAGTCGAAGGCCAGACCATCATCTTCGAAGTGCGTGGTTGATACGAGAAGTGGAGGTGTGGAATATTGGAACGGAGGGCGAGGGGGCGGGGCGAATGCGGAGGGGGAGGACGGAAGGAACGAGGAGGTGGGCGGGGAGGGAAGTGGAGAGAAGCGAAGTGGGACATGTCGAGCCTGGGGAAGAGAGTTGAAGCCAATTCTGGGCGGCCCCGTCCTCTCTCTCTCTCTCTCTCTTTCTCGATACCCTCCTCGTCGTCCTCCTCCCTCTCCTCGTCCTCCTCCTACAGTAAAGATGCTCCTCTCCGCCTCATCATACACTTGTCTCTCTCGCTGCCTGCCTTGCCACGCCTTGACTCTGCGGCTTTGTACCGCAGCCGTTCGTGCTTACAGGAGACAAAAGGAGCGTGCCGCTGCGCGCCCGCGTCCGGGCGTCGGCCGGCCGGCCTCTTCCCTTACTATTCGTGAGTACATTTGCTTAGCGGTTACTTGTCTTATCTTTCATGTCTCATCCCGTATCCTCTACTACTGAGCAGAGTAAACAGGATACCTTGATCCCTTTGACATCTTACCCCGATTTTCAGAGGAAAGACTGGTTATCAACCGAAGCCCGCGACTTAGTCGCAACATGGGTGATCTATGATGAGACAGCTGAATTGCCCGTCGGATCGCGAGATTCCGAGCAGCAAGTTGTACAACCCGACGGGCAAGGACCACAGGAGAGCGGCCTGGGGAGGGGCCGCCTTCCCTTCTCTTTTACCGCTACTCGGGTCTCTCGTGGAAGAAGTAGTGGAGAGGTTATTGACTTGTCGATAGATGATTCTCCCTCTCGACTCCCGATTGGTGATCGTGAACAGACCCCAGACCCGGCGAGGCGGGATTGCACAACAGCGAAAACTAGATGAGGAGCATTTTCCTCATGGGTTGCCGAATTTTCGGAGAATAAATTCCAGCCCGATTGCTATGCAGACGATTGTGCTGGCCGCTGGCCAAGCCAGTGGGCCGGGAGAAGCTGAAGAGTCCAGAGGCGTGTACCCCACCGTCCCAGACGGGTGGGGAAACGCTCGAGGAACTCATCCCATCCCGATAGCATTGAACGGACAATCCGGCCAAGATGGTGATGAACCGCTTGAGGATGAGCATGATATAAACTCCATGGAGGAAGATACTGGATATGCCAACTATCAAGTATCATTGAGCCGAGATTTGTCCTCGATAATGGACGCGGACCACCCCGTCCAAGACGAGAGGTGGTCCCCTGGGCAGGAGACAGTGGATTTCGATCACGTGGATGCCCTTGAGAAAGCGTTCGCAGAACCAGACTCGGATAATGAGATAAGCGACCTGCCGCCCCAGGCGGTCGAGGTGGAAATGGAGTCTCAGACTCAAGCGAAGCACGACCGGGGGGCCACAGGACGGACTCCCGCGCCTCAACTCAAGAAGCAAAGGAATGATGATTACGATTTGAATAATTCACCGCTTCAGGAAGGGTTTTATCGATCTGCCGCCGCCCCAGGCGATTGGCAACCCTCGATACCTGCTGTAGTTGAGGATGATGAAACGATTGGCCCCCCAGCTTCGCGCAATGAGTTGATAACACAGGACGAAAGAGATGAGGAGCTTCGAAAGGTGCCTAAGCCACCAGAGAGCACGCATGTGCGTCCTAGATCGAATGCTTCAAGTAGGGGAAGGCCCAAGATGCCAAGATCTGGAGCTCGATCTGCTTCGAGGGGCAACAGTACAATATCCATGCGTGGCACATAGTGGAACTGGGGCCCCAACTGCCCGCCCCAGGCGGACAACGGGTGTCGGGGGAAAGCCCACAGGCCGAATGGAGCCTGCAGGCGCCCAGCATGTAGGAGTTGCTCGGACGTGCGCCCCAATTGTAGCAATCAGTGGCTGCGCGAAGATTGCATTCCGATGGGCGAGCACAATTGCTCATACCTTCTCATCCAAGCTGTGCAGGATCAGGCTAGATTTGTTGAGGCTAAATCTCAGCAAGAGTTCCTGGCCCGCGAAGCCCAGAGGGCCGAAAAGGCCCGACTGGAACGAGAAGAAATGAATGCAGCTATTGAGGACGTTCGGAAGACGTTCGAGGCTGAAAGACTCGCCCTGGCCCAGGCTGCCAGAGAGCGGGAACAAGAGCTGATGGAACACGTGCGCCATCAAACCGCAGCTGCCAAGCAGCGTGCGGAGGAATAAGCCGATAACATATACGCTGAGATGATGCTCTCCGAACGACAGGCCGTCATGACGGTAATCAGTCAGTCTGTTGATGCCAAGACTGCGTCCGCCGCTGTTGCGCTGGCGAGAATAGAAGGAGAGAGAGTCGCGACAGCCAGGGCAGAACAAGAAAGACAGGAGCTCCAAGAACAACTTTAAAGTGCCAGGCTGGAAGTGGCCAATATTCAAATTGCAGCTGCGACGAGAATTGATCAGAAAAATAAATATCGAGACGAGCTCAGATTACATGAAGATGCCAGAGCGTCCCTTCAGCGTGTGCAGATAAGCGACATCACGTTCCCACAGGCTAAGCCGGCTGGGGCGAGTAGACGAACTTCGCCGGCGGCCCAGCCGTCCGGCGTAGCGTTCTCGCAAGATCAATTGGATTTGATGACCACAGGAAGCGCGATGCCACCAATGCTGAAAGTGAGGGCCGCACCACAACCGCAGCCCGCAAAAAGGGCTGACGAGGAGCGATGCTCGGTTTGTTTCAATCCGAAAGTTGGAGACTGTGCCACTTGTGGAATGCCAAGTTGCAAGGGTCACTTCGATGCGAGCACCAAGCGGCGTTCTAAGTGCACTCAAAGAAAGAGTTTGCCGGCAGAGCAGGAGAAGTGGGACGAGCAATGGCAAAGACACAGTGCTGATAATGACTTTCGGGCTCAACAACAAAAGCTCCTTGATGAGTGCAGCGCTGATAAATCTAGCGCCCAGAGAGTGAAGGAGCAAGCTAAGGAGCAGATCAGAATAAGCTCGAGAAGGTCAGATGACAATTTTCGGGGAAAAGATGAGGCTCTGGCACCTGCAGCTGCATCAGAGAGGGACGTGATGAAGCCCAAAGCTATCATCATTGAGTCCTTCCCATATGGTGAAACAGAACAGGGCAAGTTGCCCAGGTCTAGTTCGTTCGATATACTTCTACTTTCACAGGAAACGCCTGTGAGATCTGTTATGAGGCCCCATTATGCCTTTCCTGGTCCTGCAATCGAGGGCCCGGCCAAGCCTGGTACCTCCGAGCATGGTATACCTATCAAAATGAAGCTCACAGGTACGAATGAAGGCAAGGATTCTGTCAACTATCATCCGTTCTCTAAGGGCGGACCTGTGAGACCGCCAGCGGCCAAGCGGTCAGGCGGAGACAAAGACCAGGCGCCAGCGGCTCAGCCGCCGGGCGGAACGGGACAGGACAAAGATGGGGATGACAGTAGCGTCGCGCCGAGTACTGAGATTTTGTCGGCACTGAACGATGCCTTTCGCGACCCGCCAGGGAAGCCGCCTCCAGGGAGTCCGGGGGGACCTGGGTCCCCATGCGGTGGGGGTGGTCGCGGTGGACCTCAAGGCCCAGGAGAGCCACGCGACCCGGGAGGTCTTGATGAGAGTACCCCTCTGGACCAGTGGAGACAGGTTGGAAACAATCAGGAGGTTGATCTGGTGGACATTTCCGATGTTACAAACATGCGGGAGTGGCAGATGCATGCAGTCCGCGCTAGTGCTGGATCGTTTTCAGAGATTCAAGCAGCACAGCGTTGGATTATGGAAGCTATGGGCCCTGCTGTGGACGACCAACAGCTCAGAAATCTGGGTCGCTTCCAACGTCTTGACATCATGATCGCCGCAAACTTGATTGAGAAGTTTAATAAGATGCGAAGGAATTGCAATCTGTCCAATCATCACATACACTTCCTTCAACAGATCAGTCGAATGGAGTACGGCGCTCAGAATGAGGAGAGACTCTTGACGGGGCGCGAGATGATACGAGCCATTTGCTATTGGTGTTTTGTTAGATCGGAGTTGGGTCAACATCGCATTTCGCGTGATACCTTCCAGGTAGTCATTGACCCCAACCATCCAGATGCCGACTTGAACCATTTCTATAATGAATGGACGGCTGTCTACCAACAGCTGCATGGCGTTCGACCTCCATCCGACGAGATGCGAGCTTCGATTCATGCACATTTCATCGAGCAGTGTAGGTGGCCTAAGAAATTACTTTTCGTTTGTCAAAAAAACGACATGTCCAAACATAGGTTGGGAGAAGGCGCAAGGTCCTATGAGTGGTTCATGAATGAGATTGAAACATTGATGTTGCGCGATAAGGAAGCATGGAACACCAATATGCATGAGAGCACTTTGAATCAACGTGCTCGACAGGCGCGATTGGGCGGAGGTGGAGGCAACAGCAATGACAATCGTTGAAATGCCAACGGCAAAGCCGCTCCGGCAGAAATGACAGCCCGCCTTGGGAAAACCGCGGATGTTATGAAAAGCGGATTGACTGAGGGCGAGACGACGTGCAAGTATGTGCGTAGGGGCCAGACCTGTCCGATTGCAGGCCAGGGCTGTCCATTTAACCACAAGAAGCCCAAGGCTGCCGCGCCGGCCCAGCCGGCTGCGGGGACCAAATTGAATGCTGTTCCGGCTCTGAACAAGAACCCCAGGGGGAGATCTGAGAGGCCCGAAGGCCGAGGCCGAAAGGGGCAGAGCCGATCACAGACTCCGACGGGAGGCCGTGGAAAAGGAGCGCGGCAACGGAACAGAAGTCAATCCAATCGCTCGCGTGGGAAAGAGAGCACGCTGCCATGTTACGCTTATTCGCGGGGCCCCGAGAATTGTCGCGGACCCCCATATGGCCGTTATAGACAACGCAGAGGATTGACCGACGCAGAGAAGCTTAAGCGCGACAAATTCGAACAAGCGAAGCTTGATGCGGGACAGTCTCTGGGATACGAACGTACGGTTAAACGAGCCAATGCCGCTGCTGCCAATGTCCCCCCATCTGCGGGCGGCGGC